AAACTGTACTATATAAATTTATGATTCAAAAGGATTTTCTGGACACATATTATAATTTAATGTTATTGGACCTTGAGTGGATTCACAAATTCTCTCCACAGTTTACCTTCGTGATAAAAACCGACTCTGATGTTTGAGAATCCATATTACCTCACTGAACTTCTCTTGAAAGGAAATAATACTACCAGATTATTTACAGGTTTATTAAAAATCATTTACCCTCCAATAAAGGGTCCAGGCAGCCAGTGGTATGTAAGTGAAGGGAGAAATCGAGGGAGAAATTACCCCCTCCCCCAATTTGTTCAGGCACTGGTTATGTTCTCTCCACTGATGTTGCAAGTCAAGTGTATATGGTTTCAAATAATATTTCTTTTCTTAAACTGGAAGATGTGTTTGCAGGTCTGTGCCTTGTTGAACTCAGTATCAAGCCATAAGGGCTTTATTCAGAGCCAATATTTCTTGCTAGCCAAGTGCCATTTCCTCTTGCCACTACAGAAAAATAATCATGTCATAATATGAGTCCTTGTCAAATCCTTACATATTGGTTTGGACAGAAAAGTACCATGGAAGAAGAATGTCCAGATGGTGTAGGATCAAATAATAGTAGACTAGATCTCTAGATGGCAAACAGTAGAGTGCTGGTCAGAATGCAGGTACCTTAAAAGCAATAATGATAATCTCTCATTGATTTACATAGGTCACTTAAAAGGCTTTTAAAAGGTTCTAAAATATTTACCGTTAAGTAAGTATTCTAACCATCTTTAGTACAAATCCCACTGAGTTCCTTCTTTGCAAGGCTACAGTTTTTTACTCACTTACTTGAGATAAACCCCACTGAATTTAGGGGTTCATATATCACAGTAAGCCACTGTGGTTTAATTTAACTGTAGGGCACCATTGCACACACCAGCCACTGTTTTGAATATGGAAGCCATGCAACTTGGTTTTGCAAGGGTTTAGCAACATGGGCTATTTTAGGGTTCTGTGAAGGTTATTTAACCCTAATATACAATCCTAATATGCTACCTGCACTTGCACAACAATGCAAGCCATGGCATGTGCTTGTTGTAGCTGCTTATTAAAATGTCTGGCTGCTCACACAATCTACCTTTGCTTAAATAGGCAGCAGTGAGCAGAGGATTGATATCTATGATAAGTGATGATATTGTAAGTCAGCATGGTTAGGAGCAGGATGCAAGTAAAATCTTAGGCATGCCTACTCAGTTCAATACCATTATCTTCAAGTGTAAGACTGTAATTCTATTGTTTCAGTGGCAGATTTTTATAAGCCTCTGAACATGGAGGTTTACAAGTGTGATGGTGATGACAAAAAGTGTGATGGTGTTGATCTTGGCTGCTGTCTCACCCTGTGTTCGACTGTCCAGATTTAGCACCAGAGAGGGGAAGGGAAAGCGGCTGAGTGCCTGCTGGAATTAGTGCAGCACAGCAGTCCAGCCTCTTCCCCTCCTTACTCCCTCACACATTCCTTTTTCCCCTACAGATGTCCAGTTGCAACCTCAGGAGAGCAGCTTGGGCTCTGAAAAAATCCTATGGTGTCCCAGGCAATGCCAGAAGGCCACTGGATTGCATCTGAAGTTGTTTTTTATACACTTGAACACAATTTTCTTTGCCATAAGCTTTGTAAAATATAATTCTTAGTACATTCTAGTAACATCATTCTTAAATGTTATTTTACAACATACATGTATTCAGTAATGTTCAAATGCTTAAATGGTCAAGTACAGTATATATGACCTGAAAGTTTTTCCAGTGAAATTTGTGCAGAGAGATGTCAGTGAGAGGGACAGTCTTTTGCCATGGTTATATTTTTAAGTGGATGAGCAAGTCGAGACCACCAGTGTATGGGCACAAAGTTTCAAAGTGCAGACGTTGTGTAAAGTGAACAGTTAAAATATGAGAACTGTTTTTCTCCACCAAAACAGGAATTCAACTATTTCACTCATGTCCAGCCAGATGCACTGAAAAAATCACAAACAAAGGTTCATAGAGGTAGTCAGGATTCTGTTTTCCTTCAAGTTTCAAATGTTCCTTCTAGAAGTACTCTTTTTCTAGATGTTTCCAAGATATGGATTAATGCAAAAGCTGTCAATAAATCTTTGACTCACAGGTTTAAACAAGTGCAATGTCATGACTGTTCTTTACCTAGTGACTGAACTGATAACCTTCCTACTTGCAAAATGAAAATCAACACACTGTCTCTCTGTCTGTCTATCATCTTCAGAAAACTGCGTTTGGGTGGAGTAGCAGAATGCATGCTGGAAACTCCCTTTCTCATGAAGAAGAGTGTAAAAGTTGAGATAGCCTCGTGTGTCTTTGTCACTCTCCCTGTCCCATAAACCTCACTGTTGCTTTGATGTGCACACATGAAGTTCCCCAATACTGCTGGAGACTAGCCCTGGTTGTAGAGGGCAGTGCACTGGTGCTTTCTCTTTGCCTGTAGCAGGGAAGGCCTTTAATGGCTAATTGAAAACAAACTGCCTATTCCTTGCACAATAGGAGCCCACTGGTGATCAGTTCAGAGGGCTAGCTTTGCCATACTTTTGCTAAACCTAGTTCTTACCCCACACAGATTTTTATTTATTTATTGGATTTCTAACCTGCCTGATTAGCCACATAGCCCTCTTTTTAGGGCAGAAAGAATCAGAATGTTCCAGAGTGTATCAGATTGGTTCAAATGAAACTTTCTCTGAATTCAGTCCCACCAATCACATTCATTATGAAGGAGGGCAAAAGGAATAAAGAGTCTTTTAACACATTTTACCACTATTGTAAGGAACTTTGCCTTTATTAGAGGAAAAATATGAAATGCAACTGTGATAAGTAGTAGTTTTAGAGGTAAGAGCAGCGAATTACGTTCCCAACAAGAAACTTGATTGAGAGCAGGAAAAAAATAACCAGATTTGGAAAATTCTCCCAGAAAAGTGGATGCTGTCTGAAATAATCTAATGGTTTTCATTATTAAGTTAGACTTGCAGACTTCATACCAAGCCACTGTTACCAAGAAATGCTGTGGATCAAGAGTACATGAGTTGGAGGCATCCAAGCATTATTAGGGGTTATCTGCGGTTTGACTTTTGTTTTTTAACTCTTCCTTGGGAATCCTGGTAGTTGCCAATGCTAAATATGGGATACTAAATAGGTGAACTGGACTTAGGGAAATATTTGCAGTTTGGTTCTGGTTTATGCTGGTAGTTAGTGGATGTCCCTCATCTTGTGGTATGTACTTTTAAACATCTAAAACACACAAGCAGAGGCAGCCAAGCCAGTCCACTAGAAAAGGGTCACAGTAAGGCAGTATCTTTATTATGAGCAACTAGAATAATCACCAAACTTTCAAGTGCTCCAGGACTCTTCCTCAGGATGCTAAAAAAAACTAAGGCAAAGTGCTCTTCATCCTATACTTGTCCCTTGGTGAGTTTTATACCCATATGTGCTTTTCCTCTCATTTCAGCCCAGTGTTCCAGTCTATCTGTACCCTTTATAAATCAAAAGCAGCACCTTGACTCTGGCTCAGAAACACAGCCTGTTCAAGGAGGCCAGAATCAGTGTTGTCCCTGTTATCAATCTGGCCATCACTCTCTGAACCAGCTGCAGCCTCTGAACTATCTTCAAAGACAGTCACGTGTAGCGCTCATAGCAGAGGTTCAATTTGGACATTATCAGCATATATCACTGAGGCCAGGTTATCCCTGTCCAGAAGGGGGCATAACAGGCCACCAAGCTAAAGTCTGTGCCACTGAGGTTATCTGAGCCTCAGGTAAAAATGATGGCTGCCTAAGAAACCCCCAGCTACCCTGCTCAGAACAGCTTGAGTGTCCTCTACCAGGTCAGGTAAAACACCCATTAATAGCATCTTGGTCTTGTTTGGACTGAGCTTCAGCTTTTTATCTCTCATCCTGCCCATTGTTGCAGCCAGACACCAGAGGGCCTCAGAGTAAATGGGATTACTTCCGAGTGAACCAGATAGATATGGAAAGGACCAAAATCAAACCCACAAAAGACCCATGCAAGTGCTGGGAATGCTCAAGGATCAAGGAATGCTATGGAAGCTTACTGTTGGAAAGGAACTTATAGAAAGTCAAGTTGAATAAGAAGAGACACGTAGCCATTCTAGCTGGTATCTACTGTATGTAATACTAAAGCAGAAAAGGAAGCTGGTAATAAAATACAGGAGGTAGATACCAGAGTTTTCATGTACAATAAATTTGTGCAAATAACAGAAAAATAAATAGCAAGCGATGAATAGCTGCATTTATATGTTAGTTCTCCTCCCCTGACTAAACCTTTCAGCAGTGCAGATGGTTTCTCACCCATATATTATATTTGCATAATAACAGGTATAATCTAGGAAGCTACACCCACATTCTGGAACTCCACCAGGGTGATGACTAGCTAAAGAAAGCAACCTTGGGATATTGTGTATAAGATCTGTCCACTTTTAGGAGGATTAGTCCTGCAGCACAGGAAATAAGAACTATGAAACAAGAACTTGCCTAAAATGGGGTGTCATGTGGGCATGGCTTGCATACACAGATAAACATACTATGAACTTAGGTTGTGGGTGCATGACTCAAAAGAGAAGGACCTTGGAAAATCAGGAATACGGAAGGGCAACACTATGGAAAGCAAATTTCCAGGACTGCTGGTAGCAACACAACTGTCAAAAGGGCAGCTGTTTTGTCAGATCTGAGACATGGCCAGGGCTTGTCAATAATCTGTGGTTTGTTGGTTTGTTGGTTTGAATTATTTGTATCCCACCGTTTTTCTTACACTGAACTCAAAGTGTTCAATATAATTCTTAAATTATATTTAATTTGATTAATACAATTTATTATATGTAATAATTATATATAAATATATACAATAAATTATATATATATAAATATATATTATATAATGAATATATATAATAAAATATATTTATTATAAATAAATATAATTTATGCAGTGGAGTATCCCTAATTCTTTCTCTGTTATAGCTTTTCTTAATGGACTTCAGGCAGAAGAGAACTGAAACATAATGCGAGACCAGAGTTGAATTCTGGGGTGTGTGAGCAACACACTTTCATTCTCCTGCCCAGGAATCTTTAATGTTACAATGCAGCAGGTAGAGTATGTTCCCGCATAGGCAAAGCTCTGCCTGTCAAGTTTCTACAAGTTATGTCAGTCATGAAAGTGTTACAGAGCCAGGCTTGATCATTGGACGTCAAGGTTTTTTTAAATATTGTTAATGTGTGCTGAGCTCTGCAATAGATGTCACTGTTTCCTTACCTTCTCAGGATATTTAGGTGAAATTAGTTGTGTAACTGCCTTTACTTCATGCTTTGACAGCACTTGTTAATTATTAAAAATTAGGAGAATGCAGACTAGGTGCGGACTGAAGTCTTATCATAAGATAAAATGCTACAGCAAATAGTGACTCAGAGCATAGTCAGAAACCAAAAGTTGAACGGCATATTGTTTTCGAGTGTTCTGCTGAATTAAAAAAAGAAATCATATAGGAATTATTTGAATATTTGATTGGGTGCATATATGAAAAGTTGCTCACATGGAAGAGTTAACAAAGAAGAACACAGACTTTTCTTAAGGCTTTCAAAGAATCTTCAGGTAACAGGGTAAGTCAACTCTCCTTCTAGTCCAGTAAATTTAGTATGGATGAATGCGTCAGGAGTGAAAAACACTCAAAAGAGAGTTCACGGGAATATATAATCAAAAGAACGTTTACTGTATTCAAATGTACAGGAAATCCATGCACATGTAGGCAGGCCTGAAGGGATTACGAAGATGGTGTCTGTACAACAAGCTTTTATGATATATTAGCTATACAGAGTTTGGAGGGAGAGATTGGGTGGAGAATCACATACACAGTATGCTAGAGGCACATTAGAATAAAACAAAAGGGATTGGATGGGATTAGGAAAAGTACAGAAAGAACCTTCAGGACAGGCAAGCATTACCATCTATAAAGTGTACGTGAGAAACAAGATTTGCAAAATGTATTCCTGCTCAGATCAGGAATCCTATCTTAAGTCTAAAACTGTTCTTACAGTGTCAGGCTTTTGGCAGCCATATTATGGCAAAGCTGTTGCTCACTTTGTCCTGACAAATGTTTGTAAAATGGGTTTCCTCAGTGGGGGTGGGGGCAATAGCAGAGATTAGAAATGCCATTTAATGAAGAACATTCAGAAGTCCTACAAGAATGGAACTTACCTCCTGACAAGTAAGTTGCTTAGGATTTCAGCCTTTGGGCTTTTTTATATAAGACATTTAACCTGGTGCATAAGGCATGCTTCTCTACACAAGGCATTTGTCATGCGTTTATGACCCCTGCCTCATTGAAGTGCGCAGGTCCTTTATATGATTTTGTCATCTTCCAAGGGTGTCCCCTGTGTTTTCCAGCCATTTTCACAGTTTTTGAAGAAAAAGGATAATTCACTATTTTTCTAGAGAATGCCATTATTTGCTAGGGATGCTTTGTAAAATTCTAAATGTTGCCCTATACCACAATACTTCTGCTGAGTAACAGAACATATAGAAATATGTAGAAAGGGGGAGAAGAAACCCCCAGGGCAGGTTGGACTTACGTAAAAGGATATTCTTAGGCCGTAAGAATATAAGAAAAGCCATGCTGGATCATGGACAATGGTTCATCCAATCCAGCATTTTGTTCATGCACTGCCAAACCAGCCGCCTACAGAATCCCTCAAGCATGATGGGCACAAAAGATGGGCAATTCCTTCTGCAAAGAAAATGGAAGAAAAAGTACTTCTGTACACGAGGAGTTCAACCGGGCACTTCACAGAAGCTTCTCCCTCCATTTTCTATGCAAAAGAAAGACAGCATCAGTACCACAAGTCCTCCCCACTCCCAAGGTTTCGCTTTCTCAGCCTTTGTATGTTTTGTATTACTCAACCACAAACTGGTGGTTGGAATAATACAATTGCAGAACTACAGAAGCCTTTATTCCAGTTTGTTGTGCCTTTTACATCCATTCACTCAATGTCCTTGTTCTAACAATAAAGTTGCAAAAATTGCTTCAAAACATGGGAGAGGCCCTGAAGGTTGACAATGCCGTGTAAAGAATCCACCAGCTTGTGTGAATGAAGGCTCACACACAATAAATCCTTGTACAGAAAAGCCAAAAGCCTTGGCAAAGCACTGGGTTAAATGCCTCCTGCAGATAAGCCCATATTGGGTGTGTCTAAGTTCGCATGTATAGATGGCCACCATTATATATCAGTCTGTTTCCTGGGTTGACTGCACAGTTTTGAAATGTTCTCACTTAACAAAAGAACTCGGGGGAGGGGGGCATTTGGCCATTCACCTGGCATGGCACAAGAGTGGATATCTACTGAAATAACTGGACTTGTTCCAACTAAGTGAAATAGATTTATCTCAGAATAACTGAAGCTGTCCCTTGTGAAAACCGGGTAAGCACCAACAATTATTAGCCTGCAAAATGTTTGGAAGCTGGCAGGGGTGGGACAGAGACTGGCACTTTTATGTTCTGTACAGAAAGGCACAGCATGTTCAAGTCCCAGTCTGCCCACCTACCTGCTTCCTTGCATGCAATTCCTGCCCCCTTTCTGATGCCTGCCTTAGAATGTTTTGCTAAAACCCCCTAGAGTGCTGTTTCACTTTCACTGACAAGCTTGCCAAGACCTGAAATGATCCAAATACAGGTTTCAATCTTAACCGTATGGAGAAAGTCCCCTTTGAATATAATGGCAATAGGACTTACCTCCCTAGCAAAGTTAGAACTGTGCTGCCAGTCCTCTGCACTCATCTGTCTCTTTCTCTTTCTCTGTGTGATGTTTGTGTTTTATTTTAAAGAAAAGATAATTGATCACAAACTGATAACTGACCCATCTTTAGCTCTTCTCAGCATATCTTACAATGAGGTTGTTTTTCTTGAAATAACATGATTGCATGCTGATTATTAACAGGTAACCTAGAGAGATCTCTAAGCACCAAAAAGTACACATTTGCTATTTCTCAGAGGCATCAAACATATGATAGCTCACTCTTATGGGCTATTTCATGTAGTTTATAGTGTGGTATAAAATTACTGGGCGTTAGTTCCTATTCAATAATGAATGGAAGCCCAGCCATGAAATCTTTTGCTCAGCCTCTCATTGCATTCTGGAAATGAGTTGTCTGTTTAGAATATTCAAGCACATAATCTAATGACTATTGTTATATGGAGGATTCTCTTTTTATAATTTTTTTTAGTAAAATATACTAGTAGTGTTTGAAGGTTGATTGTTTTGTTTTGTTTTTTGAATCTGTAATTTTGAAATGATGTTCTTTTTTCAGATTCAAGGGAAGAACCTGCTAAATGGGTAAACTTCACGAATGGATTGGGCTGACTTTGAGTCTTTTAGGCCTTCTAATAGGTACGACCCTTTTCTGATTAGTCAAGAAAACTGAGACCTTTCCTAAAACCCAAGTTTGTTGTAACTTTCTGGAAATGCTGAAATCATAGAAAAATATTTTTCCCTGGTGTTTTTTGTTTATTTTGTTTCTGGAAAACGAACAAATTTTGAAAAATTGAAATAAGCATTTTTTACTGTTTTGTGCCAATGTACACTCACTTTATAAGTTCAGGACAGCCTTTTTTAAACTTGGCTCACTCCAGATGTTTTGGACTTCAGCTCCCATCAGCTTCAGGCAACATGGCCCATGGTCAAGAAACCTGGCTTGTAGTCTAAGTCATCTGGAAGGTAGCAGCTGGCAGGGGGGTGCTTTATAAACATGACTTTACTTAAGTTCTTACATATATGTTTATAAAGTTATGTGTAACTTGGTTTGCTTATAAAATTATCATTATATTTAAATCTTTTCAATTTGTAATTATTGTAGAAATACACTATAAGGTAAGTTTCATATATCGAATATAATGATTATACCACTGGGTATTGGATGGGGTAAAAAATTACCCAAATAAACAAACAAACAAACAAACCAAAACATAATGTAACATATTGTAGTTTCCTTTTTAATGTTCCTTTTAGTTTCCATCTTTTCTTTTCCTTTCTTTTTTATTACTTTAGGCATCCTAATTTACATTTGCTTCCAATGCAGTCTGAGACCTTGAAATTAAAATTGGTATGCATGTTCAGGGTGCAATTGTAGATCCCAAGGAAAATGCAAAATCCAATGCTGTGTATCCCATAAAAATTGAAACACCGAATGAAAGTTGAAGTACATCTTCTGCACAATGTTCTGCATGTCAGCTTCAAATCTCAGCTTAACTCCCAGACAGACTTTAAAGGGGACTAGGAAATATGTAAAAGACAACACAGTGTGGTATCCCCCAGAAGACAGATGACTGGATAAACAAATGACTAGTATTGTTCAGAATACTAGCAGTTTCTTACAGGGTTGGTGGCAAGGGTTTGTGGTTCGTTTTTTCTGCTTTTCATTCTGTACTTTGCATTTGTTCATTTTCAGCTGGGGAAGAGGGCAGTCCCTATTTTAAAACTTCCCTTTGAAGAGCAGCTGGTAAATGATTATGTAAGTCCTGGTATTCTCAGGATAAATTTTAATGATAGTATGATGTGTTTTATTATACAGATAGTAAGCCATTAACTTGAATCATTAAAAAAAATGAATGAGTTGAAGCCAGAATAGATGTGACCTTTGTCATGCAATTTGTTCTTCTGTAACTGATCTTTCCCTAAAAAATAAAAAGTGGCCAGTGCAGTGGCGGGAGTTACTGGGACTATAGCATGAGGGGCGTCAGTCCTCTGATCCCTCCAGATCGGGAACGTTCCTCTACTGCAAAAAGAAAGTGCAGGATGGTATTGTTCAATTGTGTTGAAGCATGGCAAATGCAAAAGTGTTAACTGCACCCCCACCCCGCATCCTCCTACAGTATCCCCCAGCTATTTATTTAAGCTAGGTATGCAACATTATGCTAGGGAAAGGCAAAGGCAGCAGAAGAAAAGGAAGAGCAAACAGACAGAATCCATAAAGGAAGCCATGGTCTTGAACTTGAGTGGGCTGCCGTGGACAGGACGTTTTGGAGGGCTTTCATTCATGGGGTTGCCATAAGTCAGAGATGATCTGTCAGCACACAACAACAACAAAATGCAACATCAATCTATGTAACAAACTGCTGAGATTGAGGAACTCACCTACACAGTTTGTTTATAAAACACAGCTTCACAATATTTATATGTAAGACAGCTACATGCACAAAATTTTCTGTAATCTAAATTTCCAGAATGACTGTTTTAGAACAGCTTCACATATTACAAAATCAGGACATTGCTGTGTAGTAAGTATAAGTATTGTTGGGAAGCTGACTGCCTTTTCATCTAATACATACATAGTGAAATTTCTACCAATGAGACCATGTTAAGTGCTCATGGAAGATTTTTTTTCTCTAATAAGACCTTTGTTACATATGGGAAAGGGTTCCTTTTATTGCAAAAAGAAAGTGCAGGATGCTATTGTTCAATTGTGTTGAGCCTTTAATGCCAGCTGCTTTTAAGGTTTTTTTTCCCAAACAGCCAGTCCCTGCTGACTGATCTATCATTATAGTTTCTGACGGAGAACTTGGCTTGGTTCAGGAGATGCCTTTCATAGCAGGGCACTCTATTATTTATTTATTATACTTTTAATCCACCCAATGATCATTGCTCTCTGGGCATATTGCAAACAGCCAAAAGGCTTAAACAATTAAGAATAAAATATACAATACAAATAGTGGCAAGAATAAAATACAATATTTTATTTATTTTTATTTATTTTGAAATTTGTATGCCACTCCCTACTCCAAGTGGAGTGTCTTATGTATATGAAACATGCATCAAAGAAGACAAAACAACTGTAGAAACTAGGCCTCAAAAGTCTTAAGAGAAAAGGATTGTCTTTTCTGGAGTCAAGCAAAATTCTTTGGTGAAGAAATTCCATAAGTAAGGGGCACCACAACTGAGCAAACCTTCTTTCTTGTAGCCACCTTTCTAGCTTCCTTTGATGGGGGATCTCAGAGGAGGGTCTTTGAAGATGACCTAAAGGTCTGAACAGGTACAGACATGAGGAGACATTCCTTTAGATACTTTTGTCTCAAAATGTTCAGGGTTTTGTAGATCAACACCAACACTTTGAAGAATTGAGCTCAGAAAGAGACTGGAAGTCAGTGCAGCTGATGAAGCACTGTTCTCCTATGATCATACCAGTGAGTCTACTTAGTAACCTAGTAGCTGTACTTTGAACCATCTGACATTTTAAAACTGTCTTCCAGGTCCATGTGTACCACATTACAGTAATTCACCTGCATGAATTACAGGTGAATCAGTAATTCACCTGGGTGGTTACCAAAATGTGATTCGCTATAGCTAAGTTATCACTGTCCAGATAGAGTACCAGCTGATATGTCAACAAGCTAATACAAGGTACTCCTGGCTGCTGAGGCCACCTGTGCCACCAATGACAGTGCTGAATCTAGCCACCCTTAGCCTTCCCTTACCAGCAGCTCTTACTGTGAGGCAGGGAGCTTCTCGGCTGGCACCCTGCAAGTGCACAGTTGCTAACTGGCTAACACCCCTTGACAATGGCTAGAGATGTCACTGGGGACTGTTAGCTAGTCATCAGCTGCATGCACAGACAGATCCCCCTTGCCCCATGCCTCTAGTTGCTTTGTTCACAAGTGAGAATGGTAGGGGATGCTTGGTCACTCCTGTATCAGTGAGGCCCCTTATCCATTGCAGCTTTGTTTTTTTCTTTATAGGAGTTATCCATGGTGCTCCAATGGTGGGGAACCTATTTTGGGGGGTGGATACCAAATAGCTCTCCTCTCTGTTGCCCTTCAGGAGAGGTAGGTGGTTCTACCAGAGAACAAATAAGAGCTTTTACTCCAGTTTGCATTATACTAACCAAATGGAATGGGATCTGTCATTTTGTCACATGGAGGTTTAAATATAATTCAGGTATCAGTTACATTTATGCAGCAGGTGATTTCAGACAAACAAATGTACATTGACTTTTTATCTATTACCATGATGTTCCTGTAAGATAAGCTAGAACATGTTTCTTGACATAGGTGTTTAGTTTCAGTTCCTGCTTTTCTGCTTTTCAGATCCTGGGTTTGGCTACTACATCATAGAAGGACCCAGAAATTTAACTGTTCTAGCTGGTTCAGATGCCCGATTTAATTGTACAGTGTCGGATGGGTGGAAAATTATAATTTGGCTTTTTGATGGAAGCCCCAAGTTGTCTGTGCTGAGTACTGGCCAAATTATTCAAACTGATCAAAGATACAATCAACAAAGTTATAGGAATGGCACCAGATTTACTTCAGAGCTTATCATGTATGATGTCCAGCTGAATGATTCCGGCCAAATAAAATGCAGTATCCAGGATGCAGATGACAATAAATATGCATTTCTTTCTGTTCAAGGTATGTAAACATTTTTATAATTATTCAGTTTTGCATGTATTTTCTTTTGCATGTATTCAGACTCACTGCAGAGCAGTTCGTATTCATGCATGCTATTTCCTAGTCTACATATCTTTCTCTGAAACCTTCGGACCTTAAAAGACTAAAGTACTTTATAAAGACCTTAAAATCTTGTTGTACCTGAAACACTAAACAGCTTTGTGCCATAAAAAATGGTGACCTAACAATTACTTGAGTAGTTAGACAATGGAATCCTCAAATAGGATATGCAATACACACGTATGAGTACAGAGGAAAAATATAGAGTGAGTTTAAAAAGCCATAAAGTAAAAAGAATTAGTAGATCTGCAATATTTCTGATCATAGCCAAAATATATAAGAACAGTGACTTTCTCAAGACAGTGTTTATCTTACTTTGCTTTACAGACAGCCACATATTATAAAATGGATATCCACCAGTACCAGTGGGCTTCCTAACAGAGACACAGCTCAGCTCAGAGACACAGGACTAGGCCTTGCACTCAGCCTGAATGCCAACTGTATATCCTCATAGTCTTAGTCATCTCTGTTACAAAACCAAGTAACATCACTCATAATTACTTGTTCATCCTCCAATATGATAGAGGACATTGCCTGCCAAGAGTGCCAATAGAACACATGGGCATTTACAACAAAGCCATTGAAATGCATGAATTTAAGTTAGATCGTCATCATCATTCATTTTTTCCCTCTATCATCCGATAGTCAAAGTGCTCTGGGTTGTTCACAGCAACTCATAAAACAAGGGCAATAATAAAAATAGGTAATACAATACAAATACAGCAATAACATTAAAATGCAGCATAAAATGCAATTTAAAAAATCAAAATAGTTTGTACAACTAGAACAATTTTAGTAAAAACCCAGACTTGTTCAAATAGATGGCGTGTGCTATCTTATACCATTAAATGCTTTGGAGGAGACGGTAAGTCTTAACCTGATGATAAGAAGTTCAGAGATAGCACCAAGTGGGCCTCAGTGAGGAGATCATTTCTTAATCAGAGGGCCACCATTGATGAGGCTCTCTTCCTTATTGCCACTGTCTAGACTTCCCATGGAGGCAGCAGTCAGAGGAAGACCTCAGATGTTAAGCATAGCATCTGGGTAGATTCCTGTTGGGGAAGGTGTTCCACATGTATGGCATTATAGGTTAAAACCAGTGCCTTAAATTGGGCTCAGAATCATACCTGCTGGTGGTCCAGCTAGATTGGAATTAGTTGTATATGTCTGGACCTTCTGTTTCCAGTTATTAATCTGGCTTCCACAGGTTCTGAAGAGTCTTTCCACATACAGTGCATTGTAGTAATCTAACTAGGAGGTCATCAGAACATAGATCACTGAAGCCAGCTCATCCCTGCCTAGATAGGGGCATAGCTGGGCCACCAGCCATGTTGGCAGAAGGCACTTGGTGTTACTGAGACCATGTGGGATCCAAATGGCAAAGATGGCTCCAAAGGAACCCCAAAAGCTGCTCCGTTAGGGACGGTGCAACCCCATCTAGAATGGGTTAAACACTCTCCAGCCGGTCAGAAGCAGCACCTCAGTCTTGTCTGGATTGAACATCAGTTTATTAGTCCTCATCCAGTTTGCTATCACAACCAGGTGCAGGTTTAGCATATCCACAGCTTCAACTGAAGAACATGAGCAGAGAAGTAGAGCTGTGTGTTATCAATGCTGAGTACAGCATACTCCAAACTTCTGGATGTCCCCACTCAGTAGTTTTATGTAGATATTAAATAGTATAGGAATAAGAGCAACACCCGAGAAACTCCATGCTGTAGAATCCAAGGGCCAAGTAATATTCCTCAAAAACCATCTTCTGGAGCTGGCCATCCATGTAAGCCTGGAACTGATGCAAAGCAGTACCTCCTCTGCAACTCTCACCACAGCTGTCTCCAGCAAGTTGGAGGACTGATATACCTGCAGAAAGTGGGGCAAGAACAAATGCTGGTCTCCAGCTGATTCTGCTGTCTCTCCCTCAAACCCCAGCCAAATATTCCAGCTGCTCTCTCATAACCCATTGGATAAAATGCTTGGGCTTTCAGGTGCCACAAGTCAATTGTGTTGCAATGCTAGTCATCTGGAATGCATTAAACCATTGTTACTTTCATTTACTTCTATGGAATTATTCAGTTCTCTTTGCCACCTCCACTAGGGCTGCTAATTATGCACCAGACTGCCAGTACTAATTGCAAGCTATCAAAAAATTAGTTTTTGGCCACCACATTTAGGAGCTTTGCCACCCACCCTGCCTCAGAAGTCTTCTGAGCCTTAATAGTTTACTGTTGTTTAATGCAAAACTGATGTTAATTGAATACACAGCAGGCCCAAACCAGTAATGTGTGGGAAGGACTGTGGTTGAAAGCATGTGTTTGTAATACACTCCCATTCCATTTTTAAGACAGGTACATAAAGTATTTCAGGTTCAAAATTCTAGCTGACAAGGCAGAAACAGAGTTCATGTTCAGAAACAAGGACAGGACAAGCTCTTTCAATCAGCACTCTGTCTACTAGTATCGAGCTCAGAAATCTGTACTCCAGACAAACTTTAATCATTTAAGAATGATCATAATCAGTCCAGTGTATAGGGATTGTAGGTAGGGATGTGTGAGGGATCTGCTTTGTGGGTGGGAATCAGTTGGATTTTCTGAGCTTGGCTCCCTGGACTCCAAGTCTCCTGAATCCGAGTTCCTGGTGAGCATGAATCGAGCCTCATGCTCAGCACAAGCAATGTCCCTCTTCCGTACCATGTGAGGCAGTGTTTGTGCTGCTGAACCTGACATTGAGGAAGGTTGCCAGTTGTGCAACCTTTGCACTACTAGTATGCACAGGCTTGCTTTATTTGCGCTTGCTTTCTAAGGCTGGGCCCAGCACAATGAAGTCTGTGAATGCTCCCAACCCTAATATAGTATATTTATATAAAAGTTTTTGTTAACAAATACACAGACACAATACTCTAGCAAATATGAGACCTTTCTGGATTTGCCAATGCACTTCATATTTGTTTGTCTTTGGTGTGCCTTTGCTGATCTTGGCTTCTAACCTTGATACCACACTTCTATTATATACTCTCACCCCTTTGAAATCATGCAGATAACTAATGATCTGGCCTTGCTGCCGTTTCTCCTCTTCCTCTTCCCTGTTTCTCCAGGAAAACATTAGCCAAGCTAATCCTTATCACCTGACTTCATCTTCATTTTAAAAAGATTGTGTAGGTGAATAGATAATTTTTATGTTCTGCTCTCCCCATGCCCACCAGAACCCCCTGTTTCTGTTCCTGAAATTAAGTTTGGCTCCTCTGCCCAGCTATCAGAAGTATTTATTTCAAGAGTTTAAATTTAATTTTAATTTAATTTAATAAAACATTTTATCCTGTCTTTTCACAAATGTCTCAAGGTGGCTTACAGAATATAAAATCAAGACAATAAAAATACAATCTGTAATTCAATTAATAGCAATAAAAAGATCATGATAAATACAATAATTACTAACGGAAATTACTTTTCATTTGGCAGAGCAGAATCAACACTAATCAGGCCATATTGTTTAAAAAATTATAAATGAAATATTAGATTAGATTTAGTTTTATGAAAACTATGAAATTAAGTATTTTGAAGGAAGAAACCCATCTTTTTTTCCAGTTAAAGGATCTTTGGATATCAAAGATAGGAACTTCACAGTAAGAATGAACCGAACAATTAATATAGTTTGTGAAGCTCTTGGATGGGCTCCTGCTCCACACATTTTCTGGATGGCAAATAATATTTCATTAGATAATTCAGTGTATGTTACCAGCCAGCATCAAGGACTGAACGGCTTGTACAATGAAGAGAGCATCTTAACCCTGACACCAATGACCAATGTCACAGTGACTTGCTTAGCTGCCTTAGATGCACTCTCTAAACCTCAGTATGCAACTGTGAATGTAACTGTGTATGAACCCTCTCCAAGTAAGTGAATATCTTATTGGTACAATTGTTCAATTTTCAAAATCATTAATTTCTTTTAATCCAGTTTGATATGTGTGCTTGAAAGGCATAGAACTTGGCTTTAGATCATTATGAGAATATTGGTGGGACCTGATGAATCTCATGGAGTGTTGGCCAAGTGGGCCTCTCAGCTCTTGTGTTCTTGGAGAATCCACCTGTAAACTTTCAAAGACAGGAGGCCTCCTGCTATATTGTTCACAATTTTTCATCATATTTATAAGTATTGGATGTAGTATTTTTAAATTAATATGTAAGTTACCATCTAACAGCATTAGTTAGTACTGTTTTCATATTGAATTTGATGGCAATAAAATGCCATGGTATTTCGTATTTGATAGTTGAGAGCTGATGAGATTTAATGGAAGTTCTGTCGAAATCAACCATCAAGAAATGCCCACGGTAAAAGTGTTTTGTTTTGTTATTAAAAATTTCACATTAAAATTGCAAAATTGAAGGCTAAATTAGACACTATGATGGACTTGTATCATTCTACTCCTCTTGTGCTGTGAACTTGGGCTGAAAAGTGAACTTGGACATTTACTGAATACTTCTCCATGCATAGCTGTGGTCTATAAAATACCACATTTTGCTATTGCTGACTTTGTGGACAGAGAGATAATGTAGAACTTAGGGATTTTATTATATTAAATAGTATCACAAATCAATAAATTATATAGCTATAGTTTGTTTGCTTGTTTAGGATGGTATGGCCATAACTCTCAGTTGTTAACTGATTCCAGGTTCTTTCATTTATTGTTTTTGATTCTGTTGGATACTCATTCTGCTACTGCTTCGGTGGCACAGAACATGGGAAATATATTGTAATAATAGAAATAATAATTCAACTAAGCACAGCAACTCAAATTCCATTCTGTACAGAGAAAGATCAGCGAAAGATTATTCACATTTCTTCAGCTTAACATCTTCAGCATGCAGGTCTCACAGGATTTCAGGTAGTATTGTTCAGAACATGCAGTTTTAGTGACAACTACTAAGATGGTTTATCAGGGAAACTGTTGGTGAGAAAGTGGAGGAAGGAATTCCATTTATATTTTTTAAGCACAGTGAGGAGGTAGGCGCTAGGAGCTGTAGTTAGTACCACTGCTGACTAGTTATTTGTCCCTAGCAATGTTAGCAGCCCACATCTGTACAGCTGGATGACACTGTCTGTAGCACTGCCCACCTTCACTCTCATAACAGCATCCAGTGATTGCACCTTTAGGCCATATCCAGTACAGCTGCTCAACTCCTGCTTATTTTTAGTTGTTTGAGAAGCAATCCCAGAAATGTTTGTTAGATTAGGAGAGGTTAGCGAAGTTTTTCTACTAATGTCAGGTTACTTTTAGAAAGGCTAACTCCCAGTTGTGGTGGGTCCCTTGGATACATGGGCAGACTAGGATCCTGCCAAAGTTTGATAGGGGGAAAACACCCTCTTATTTTGGTCAGAATGGTATAATTCACTCCGACCATCAGCAGCATTCCAAGATCTCAAGAGATCTTTCCTAGCTCTGCTATCTGTGATTCTCAGCTGGAGATACCAGTGATTAGATTTGGAACCTTCTATATACACAGCATGCATTCTACTACTAAGAAGTGACCCCAACCCAAACCAAGACATTATTGTGTCTTTGGCAGGTGTTGTAGATTAGGTGACGCAAACACTATATTTGTTGAAGTGGGCTTGCGAAATGCATTTGCATATCATAGGAAAGGGTGTGGTACTCAAACCTAGATATATCAAATAATCATTTAATGTATGTTTCATAATTTAATTATAGAGTCAACTCTTTGTTATCAAGGTTCCTGCCTATAGCCACTTTGTTTGTGGGCAAGGAGAGGACACTCTCCTGATTTTTCTCTGTTTGGAAGAAATGTTCAAACTGCAATGTGACTAAGCAAACCAGATCTATCAGGAAGTGTGTGTGTGTGTGTGTGTGTGCTTGCATGCATACACATAATAATAATTAAAAAATCTCTTTTCTAACTATCACTCTGAGGAAGTTACCTTCTTCAGTTTCCATAATAATGTGATGTCACCCAGAATGGGGGAAAAAAAACCCAGATGTCACAAAGTGTCATGATTGTCTACTTACTCATTACAAGAAACATCCTTCATTGCTACCTGAGAAGCTGATTATGTAGAAATAGATGGGTTGTCACGATGGGAATGTATAAAGTCTTTTTAATTATTAAGCTGACAGGGAGGCATGCCAACAGTAATGAAGACAATTATACCATTTGACACTGGGCTGGATGTTGATTTCTCACCTCTCTGAGCTGAAAGACATTTCTAGGGGACTTGAAGGAGCAGTCTGTTACAAAGGTATTTCCAAAAGTAATTTAAGTTAACAAATTACACTACATACTGTAGCTTAAGGATCAGACCCATAATACATGGAGGAGGGGTAGGTTATGTATTAGATGAGTGTGAAGAAGAGAATGCTCAGTTCATTAGTTTTGGGGTTTTTAAAATGGATGTTCATGGGAAGTACCCTTTACGGTTTCTCCCTTCTCTCCCGCTGCCCCTTGTCCATTCCCTCCCCCCAAATTTCCAGAGGTTTATTGAACCCTCCATAACAGTGACAGGAAAGAATTGGCAGAATTTGCTTGACTTTTACCAGATGGATCCTCCACTCTAATGCAACCCATTGTGTGTATTATGCTAATTCATGCATGGATGGAGACTCTAGGTTCAAGCCACTGCTGTTAATCTTGATCATATCCCAGAGCAGGCCTTTGACAAGTTTTGGTTCTTTGCCTCCATTTACCTAAACTAGAAAGGACACCCTTGCACAATCCACCAAGAGTTTCACCTGTGCAAGCCTCCATTGAATGGGTAAAAAATACTCAGATATATTTCCCATGGCTCATACTTTGTTGTTTTAGGTGCCATCATCGCATCTCCGACTTATGGTAACACATGTAATGAATGCCCTTCAAAATGTCCTGTTGTGGACAGCCCTGCTTAGCTCTTTTAAAGTCAAGGCTGTGGTTTCCTTGATGGACTCAATTCATCTAATATTTGGTTGGGTATGGTGGCTGCAGTGGTGCTGCTCCTAATTCTTATTCTGCCATCAAGTGTTCCTACCATTATTGTCTTCTCCAGTGAGCCTTTCCTTCTCATGATATGCCCAAAGTATGACAGCTTTAGCTGCATTGTTGTTGTTTCCACTGAAAGTTCTGGCCTGATTTGTTCTAGGACCCACTTGTTCATTTTTTTGTTGGCCCAGGGTATTCATAACGCTTTCCTCCAGCACCCCGTTTCAAATGTATCAATTTCTTCCTATCCAGCTTTCACACTCACACATAGTGATCAGAATACAACCCTATGGATCCAGTCTTGGTTTTGGTCTCCAGTGAAATGATGGCTTACTCTTGATGGCTTTTCCCAGTTCCTTCATTGTTGCCCTTCCAAGTCTCAGGCTTTAGATTTTGTGGGTGTTTTAATTTTGTGCAGTCTTCATGGTGACCGAGCCAACAAGATTATACCTTAAATATTGAAAATTCAGCCTGCAACCAGGGTTTTTATTTTCCTTTCCTTCACTGAGGATAAATTACTCTGGATGCAAAGGGACAACACTGTGACATGCAATGCAAAATACTGTAATATATTTAAATATGTCAGTGCTGAAACAGAAATTGAATTCAGTCCAGGATCATTCATATCAACCCAAACAGGGCTCAAAATCTTTGCAGTTTTAAGAGCTCAATGTACAGTGTATTTTCTCCAATAGTGCCGACTTAGTAGGAATCTATTATAAAGGAAAGCATAGTCTCCTCTAAACTGGTTTGCAGCTGTGAAATTTCTTTTCAGATACATACTACATTATTTATGAGGACTGGTTGAAGCACATCTGTTAAAATGCATTTTAATCAGAAGTTTGTCTCACACACACACACACACTGAAGTTTTACAGAATTTATAGAGCGTTTTATAGAATATGGGCAAGCGCAGACTTAACATCTCAAGCTACTGGTACAGTCTTATGGCTGCTTGCCTGTGCGTATGCCCCATTCAAATCAGTGGGATTTATTTCTGAGTAGACATGTTTAGGCTTGTGTTGCTGGTCTAATAAACCTAATAAATTACTTCTTAGATTAAGATGTATTGTTGTGCATATGCACTCCCTTTTCCCCATTACCCCTTTCTCTTGTATGCCACAATTTCCCACTACATTCAAACTGGAAACTATGCACTAATAATCTCCTGACTAGAAACCAGGATATTTAAACCAGGGTTACATAAAGGAAGCAATGATTAAAAATGATTAATTTGGCAAATACTCAGAAACATTACCTGCTTAAGTTTTTTAATGAAAAATGCTGAGTACTATGGATATCTCACTGAAATGTATAGGAAGACATGCGTATTTATTGTTCATAAAATATCAATTTGCTATGCTGCTTAACATTTATTGATTTTTATCTAGTAGAATCTGATAAAAATGAAGATTGGCGAACCCGAACTATAATTTTAGCAGTTGTGTTGTCAGTTGTGGGTTTACTCCTTCTGATCCTTATTATTCTGCTTATTATATGCTGCTGCAAGAGAAAGAAAGGTAGGTAGGTTTTTTGCAGCTGCTGGCTATACATCTTAGACCTTACAATTATAGATGGTGAAAGATTAGGCCCAAATAAGTGTCTTTCGTGCCAGTCACAGATTCCTATTTATTGAAAATGGTTCTCTATAATGTGCTTATGGGAGAAAAGCTATCCATTAATGAATTAAGAGAAAAGAAAAAAAAATGAGATAATGGCCACAAAACAATCCACTGCAACAGTTTAAAATGTAATGGAACTGTTTGCACATCAAACCCTCAATAGTATGATAGTAACTTGTTTCTGACATTGCTTGAACATTCATCCCAAATAGTAGCAATGCGCATAAGAGCTGAGGGCAATATCCTATTTGGCAGTAGTGGTAACCTAATGTACACTGCGCTAGCATAGCCTATGTCCAACGCAATGATAATAGCATTGGCTGATGAGATGGTGTTTCTGGGGACACTCTTTGTGCCAGCAATGGTATTGGCATTGTGCTCGAGGTAACAGAAGTGAGTGCAACATAATTCATATTAGCACTGGTGTGAAATAAGCTGCTGTCTTGAGTTATGACTTGGGAAAAGAACACCAAAGCACCCTGCCTCTGGCGCAGTGCATCTGTTTCAAAGAGGCTGGCCTGCATTCAGGTAGAGAGCTTCCTGTACCAGCACTTTGAAATTCCCAGCAACCTGCTCTTCCGCAGGCCCCCATCTATTTTGCCGCTCCTACTTCTGTGGAGAGCACTGTGCTTGCCAGGCACTTGAGGAAGAGGAGAGACTGCTGAATATCCCAGGATGAGGCCCAGTGGTTCATAGTCCATTTTGTACTACAGCATGCCTAATGCAGCAACAGCAGCAGAAATGGTACACCTGTGGTAGGAGCAGGAGTAGGAGGGTAAAGTGTGGTGTTCAAGTGAGCCCTGTCATTGTTGTGCAAAGGGAGCAAGGCCGAGTTACAAAGGAAAGCACCGGAGAGGACATACCTTTCCATTATATATGAAATGCTCAGCGTAGTGCTGCAAGAAGGAGCTGTGGAACAGAAGCCCTTCACGCCTGTGTGGTGTTCATCTCGCATTGAAGTGACGAGGGCAGTTCCACACAAGCAGGGCATTTTCATCTCTGCCTGTGCAGGCAGAGTCTCCCTTGGAGCATTGGAACAGCTCTGCATATTAAAGCAAAATCACCATTGTGAAAAACCAAGGGCTTTTTTTTGGTACGTTAAGTTTCCTTACAATATTCTAATGTCTGTTTTCCCCCACTGCAGAGTCCAACTATCAAAAGGAGATGAGGTAAGCAGATTATTATACAATCCCCTCCTAATTGGGTAAATTGTTGTTTGTTTTTCTCTTTTTTAATTTGCTCAGGATGCAATCTTATTGCCCTTGTGGCTGAAGCTCATAAGCCAGTCATCATGGTTTATGCGCATCCGGTGCTGGGTCTGAGGTGCAGGGACAGCAATCTCCATTATCTCCTTGCCTTGCACCCTGCATTCTAACTACATGGTCTTCTAGATTTATGCCCGACAAGGGGGAGGGAAGGAGACCAGGGCAATGGAACTGGTGCAGCTCTGCAGCTCAGCCACCTTCTCTCCTTGCCCTGTTTCTTCCCTGTCACCTCTTTCCCCCTCTGAGGCCCAGTTCCCCCTCTGGGAGAACAGCCAGCATGGTTCCTTTTGTGCTGGTTGCAAGGGAGTGGAGTGAGGGCTCAGATGATGTCAGGAGACCCTAGGATTGTGCCCCCAATAGCAAATGTTCTCTGGGCAGGTTACATAAAGGTAAACGAATGAAATGCAATACAAAACAAAACAAAGAGCCCAGGACAAGCAATGTCATATATGTAAAAATAGCCACAACACCTAAAATGTATCTGTATAAATGTATTAGATGTTGAAACATGCAGGGTAGTATCAGGTGTGACACTCCCACTCAAATACATTGCCTTGAACTACTGTGAATAACCTCTAGGCCACTGCCAACCACAATGACTGAGACAACAGTTTTCCTAGGCTAGAGGCATGTAATTTATGTCAGCATTAGTGTCCCATTGGGTACTGTTCATAGTATTTATCATGGCATTTTTTACAACCAGGAATATATGTCTATTTCACTGTGTAATTAAGATTAACCATTAATGAGCATGCATGGCTCTTTTAATCTGCTGAATTCTCATACAGTATTCAGCTGTATGAATAGTACAGGCCACTCTTTGTGTTATTTAAGAACAGATTTGTAAAATTTGGGGCACATTTACCTTTGAGACTTAAATTGCCTGTGTGTGATTTATGTGAGCATTGATCTTTGCTCATAATGAGCATTTTGGCCAATGTGAGTTCTATGTTTGCATTACAAAACTAATTGAAGCACAAATTGCTTTAAACCTCATGTGAAAACAAAACACTCTAAAAAGATCTGATATTATGTCCTGCTGTGCAGTCACAGAACATCCAAACGGATTTAGGAGCCCGGTGCCAATGTGAGCTGACTTTTGCCCCTTGATTATTTTTAATAACCTTTGTTCCATCTTTCCACCAAAAGCAGTGCTCAGAGAGGCTTGTTGTAGGAGCAGGGAACTGTGACCTGCACAGTACTTGGCACCTCTGTCCTGGCATTTGAGCACAGTTCCTCTGCTACATTATATGTTTACATCCTGTTTACATGTTTATATCCTGCAGGGTTGGGAAGGAATCTGGAGGAGAGGGTGGAATAGTTATGGGAGCAGCCCCATAGCTTCTAATCAGAGTAGACTTGAGCTGGCAAAATCGTGCAAGCAGAAGTCTAGTAAGTGGAGCAAAACTGGTCAGTTCAGCTCCATTTTAATCACAAAGGAATGTACAGTAGCTGTTGGATTGCAAGGAAAGGCTTATTGTGATCCGCTTAGAGTACCCCTGGGCTGATTAGCGGAAAATAAGCCTAAAAATAAATAAAATACAGTTGATTACAACCCACAAAAATAGGATCGATTTTGAGCTGCACCTTCCAGTGTCAGCACCTTTCAAAACTAAACTCTTGCCCACTATTGATGACTGTAACAGCTCCAATGATAAATGCAATTGCTTAGGTAATCCCAAGTAAGTCAAGATTTTGCAATTTTAAAAGGAAGGGAGGAGAAGAAACACAGCACCATTTGCAATGGCTTATAGTCCGCTTTTGAGATGGATCGATTTTTTTTTTGTTTATTCAATTTATTCATTCAATTCAATTCATATGCTGCCCCATTAACCATAGGCTCTCTGGGCAGCTTACAACATATATATCAGAAAGTTCTGAGATTAACATGCAAAGCCCCAAATGGTCATTCAGGACAGGTTACCTGAATTATCATCTCCTCCCATATATACCTGCCCAGACCCTACGATCATCCTCACTAGTCCTTCTGAGGAAGTCCTACCAAGGGAAGTCAGGTGGGTGCCTACTAGGAACAAGGTCTTTTCTGCTTTGCCACCCCAGCTATGGAATTAACTTTCCAGCTAGGCTTGCCTGGCATTTACATTGTTCCATTTTCTATACTAGGTGAAGACCTTCTTATATGCCTAAGCATTTTCCCAAGAGCTTATGTTCTAGTCTGTTTTAAATTCTATATTGTACTACTGCTAGCTTTTACTCTTGTTCTCACTTTTCTTTAACCTTGTAAATTATATAAATTTGATACTATATTTTGTACTGTCTTTATTTAAATTGCTTTGAATTGTTGTGACCTACCCAGAAAGCTTTGAGTATTGGGCAGTATAACAATGTAATACATACACACACACAAACCTGGGCAAGAACTCAGGTAACATAGCAAGCCAACAAATTAGTTACTGAATAATGCTTAATAAGTAAAAACAAAGACAGGCTTGCTGATCCATAAGAAAAGAAAATCTACAACTGGGCAATACCTTTATTAGGACCAATCAAAATTCCCAGAACTCAGACAATGTAGTACCAAAGAAAAGGAATGGGGAAAAGATGTAAACTTCGAAAAGTCTGTCCAGATGTGGCATGAAGTCTGCAATTTTAAGCTGAGCACAGTGATTTGCAGACTGAATTACTTAGTCACTGGTAAGTGTTGCAAGTTTCAGGCCCATAGAGGGTCATGAACATAACCAATCACAAGTTAGCATTGTGTGCAAATGAGCTTGGAGTGTATGTAGCATCAACCTGGCTCCAAGCTGACATTTCAGTGCAAGTCTTCAGTAAAAGACTTGCCAGCAGGCCTGTGAATTGCTTTCATATTCAGTACTTGCAGCATATGCCACAGGAGGTCACTGTGTACCAGAGAAGCTCAATCTTTTCTGCTACTACAATAGATGTGCCAGCGCTGTAGGATCTTGGAATATAGAATTTATATGGCACACAATCAGAACTGAAACTGAGACAAGTTGATGCAAGTTAATTAAGCCTGGCTGGCAGGCAAATTAGACGTCATTCTCTGATTTTCTAAGAATCATTCAGATGCAACCTTTGAAAGAAGATGCTGGAGTAATAAATTGCTTCCTGCTTGGCTTGCACTTTAACCTCTTACAATGACTCAAACGAACTGTCTTTATGTTAAAGCTGTAAAGCTTTAAAATGTAAGGGACTTTTCGTCAGTATTTAATTATTAATTAAAACTCTGCTAAGCAATACCAAAACGTTTAGAATGATGTCATTATGGAACGTTTTCAGTTGCTTTTGTTTGCATTCCCCCTCGGGAATGGATCAACAACTACCTTTTGCTATCAGAGAAAAGAAGGAAGCATATGCCAGATGCAAGGATAATCAGTACAAGTGCTAATCTGACTAATATATTTTATTTCATCTTTGTTCCTATGAGGTCATTTAGATCAATCTTTTGAGCACACAACAATATTTTGTGGGAGGGAGCTCAGGGAGGACAGAAACCTCCCATGGAGCAGAAGGGCAAAAGCTCGCTTAATCTTGATTTTCAGTATGAATACAGACTGTGAAAGCAGGACTTCACGATCCTTCTGACTTTTTGGGTTTTAAGCAGGAGGTGTCAGAAAAGTTACCACAGGGATAACTGGCTTGTGGCAGCCAAGCATTCATAGTGACGCTTTTTGATCCTTCGATGTCAGCGCTTCCTATCATTGTGAAGCAGAATTCACCAAGCGTTGGATTGTTCACCCACTAATTTTCACTGTACAAGTGTGGGGAGAGGATCAGGGCTCTGGGAGCAGGGTTTTAGAGGTACTGCAGGGACTGACAGGACTCCTACAGGGAGGGTCCAGGTATCAGGGAGGATGGGAGGAAGGAGGAGGCTGGGAACTCCAAGGAAAGAAAGTGGTGGGAAGGAGTTGAGGTGCATGTACACCAATGCTAGGAGCATGGGTAATAAGCAGGAAGAGCTTGAAGCTCTCCTGGGAATAGGAGGGTATGACCTGGTGGGAATCACAGAAACTTGGTGGGATGAAAGGCAAGATTGGAATGTGAACATAGAAGGGTATCATCTTTTTAGAAAGGACAGGAAGGGAAAGAGGGGTGGGGGCGTGGCTTTATATGTCAGGGAAGGGATAGCATGCAGTGAGATAGAATGCAGCACAGATTTGGTAGAGGCAGTCTGGGTGAAACTTAGGGGTTTTGACAGGAAAAGGGACCTGACAGTGGGGGTATGTTATTGCCCTCCAGGTCAACTTGAAACCCTGGATGATGTCCTGACAGGCCAGTTTCTAAGGGTATCTCGGGGGAGAGACACAGTAATTATGTGAGATTTCAATCTCCCGGATATTAGTTGGGAGACTTACTCGGCGGTGACAGCCAGGTCATGTTGCTTCCTAGAGGCTATAGAGGGAGGATTTTTCACACAGGGTCCAAGAGGCAACAAGAGGGGGAAACATCCTTGACTTGGTCTTGACCAATAGAGAGGAGCTGATAGATGAAGTACAGATTAGGGGAGCTCTGGATGCGAGTGATCACTCCATCCTTTGCTTTGAGATCAGGGGACTGGGGACATGCAGCAGGTCGAGCACTAGAAGCTGGGACTTCAAGAGGGCCAACTTTGGCCAACTGAAGGCCAGACTGGAGAAAGTCTCCTGGGATAGGTTACTGGAGGGTAAGCAAGTTGAGAAGGGGTGGATGGCACTCAAAAGGGAGGTTTTGGAGGCACAAGCCTTGGCGATACCTCTAGTTAGTAAGGTGGGGAGGTGGAGGAGACTGCCGCCATGGATGCAAAAGGAGGTGGTTAGAGGGATTAGACGAAAGAGGAACCTCTGTAGGAAATGGGTACTGGGGCAAATAGACAAAAGGGTATACCGGGAGGAGGAGGCCCATTGCAGAAGGATTCTTCGCAAGGCTAAGGCTGATTACAAGCTGAGACTTGCCAAGAATATCAAGAGCAACAAAAAGGGCTTCTTTCAGCATGTAAATTGGAGGAAGAAGGAGAGACAAGTGGTGGGACCACTAAATAAGGAGGAAGGAGATCCAGTGACTAATATGAAGGAACAGGCACAGATGCTAAATGACTATTTTGCCTCTGTGTTCTCCCCAAAGCAGGATGGGGGAGATCCACATAGGAGATTAGATGAGGCCGGGGACTTAGGGGCACAGATTAGAGTCACCCCCACTAGAAGTTGAGGGGCTCCTCGGGCATTGGTCATTACACAGGTGCCAGGCTCTGACAGGTTGCACCCGAGATTACTTAGAGAGTTGGCAGGGGTTCTCTCATGCCCGCTGGCCTCCATTTTTGAGGCCTCATGAAGAACGAGTGAAGTTTCAGAGGAGTGGAGGGTGGCATCAGTGGTTCCAATTTTCAAAAAGGGTAGTAGAAGGGGCATGGGGAATTACAGACCTGTTAGCCTTACGTCCATTTTAGGAAAAACAATGGAAAGGCTCATAATAGGGAGAGATCTAGCGATGTTAGATAGGGAAGGGAGGCTGGCAGCCACACAACATGGCTTCTGCAAAAACAGGTCCTGCCAGACAAACCTTGTGGAATTCTATGACAAGGTTTCAAGATGGCTAGATGGAGAGGATGCAGTGGATGTGGTTTACCTGGATTTCAGCGAGGCCTTTGACAAAGTGCCCCATGATATCCTGGTGGAGAAACTGAGGAGTTTTGGGATACACCAAAGCACTGTCCAGTGGATTAGGGCATGGTTGACTGACTGAAAGCAGAGGGTAACCATTAGTGGGGAATCATCAGGATGGCGGCCAGTGACAAGTGGGGTCTCCCAGGGCTCTTTCCTGGGGCCAATCCTGTTTAATCTTTTCATAAATGACATGGAAGAAGGGGTGAACAGTCTGCTGATCAAATTCGCAGACAATACTAAAACTGGAGCAGTGGCCACAACTGTGGAGCAGGTAATCCAGATCTAAAAGGATCTGGACAGACTATGGAAGTGGGCAGGAGACAACAGGATGGCGTTCAATGTGGATAAGTGCAAGGTCTTGCACTTGGGGCATAGGAATAGGTGCCATAAGTACAGGTTAGGTGACAAGTGGCTGGAGAGCAGCACTTGTGAAAGGGACCTCGGGGTACTGGTTGACTGCAGGCTGAACATGAGTCAGCAGTGTGATGCTGTGGTCAAGAGGGCGAACGCCACCCTTGGTTGCATAGCCAGAAGTGTGGCTTCTAGATCGAGAGAGGTATTACTACCACTCTATATGACTCTGGTGCACCCACAACTGGAGTATTGTGCTCAGGTTTGGGCCCCTCATTACAGAAAGGATATAGCCAGGTTAGAGTCAGTGCAGCATAGGGCCACAAGGTTGGTGGCCGGTTTCAGGGGATGGGGTATGAGGCGAGACTGAGGGAACTGGGTCTCTTCAGCCTGGAGAAGAGGAGACTCAGAGGGGATATGTTGGTGACATACAGGTATGTGAGGGGATGTCACATGGAGATGGGTAGAGACCTGTTCTCCCCTGCAGAGGAAGGCAGGACGTGCTTCAATGGAACAAAGCTCAGGGAACCAAGGTTCAATTTGGATTCCAGGAAGCACTTCCTGACAGTTAGGACCCCGAGGGTGTGGAATGGGCTTCCACAAGAGGTCGTTGAGGCCCCATCGGTGCAGGTGTTCAGAGATAGGCTGGACATGCACATGGTGGGCATGTCGTGAGCGGAGCCGGCTGGAGCCAGGGGACAGACTAGATGGCCCGGGAGGCCCCTTCTGACTTGCTGTGTTTCTTTGTTTCTATGTTTCTATTTTTAGAGTCCTTCTAAATGGACTAGCATATATCTGGTTGCTCCCAGTCAGAAGGAAATTTCACAAATGGGGCTCCATTGCTCAAACATGTCCTTGCTCTATTACCAGCCAATCTTGTCTTGGACATGAATGGCACCCGAAGAAGGAATTATGGGAGGTCCATTTGCACAACATCATCTGCAATTAGCCATTTACTTCCTTCAGTGATATAATGCTGGGGAGGGCTTTGCACTGGGAGGAGGGAGCTGATTCCAGACTGCTTCCTTATCAGTTCACTCTTGTGTTGTAACTTACAAAGTAAATAGTCACCAAAAAGCAGAGTTGGGTGGTTTTGGTGTTGCAACTAAGGTGCACAATGGGACTGGAAAGTCACTGAAACCACAATCACATAACATCTGTGAATCAGACTGTTCCTTAGTTAGTCAGGAATGGAAAGTTCTGAGTGGTGTAAAGAAATCCCATCAGAAGGTACTAATATATTCCCTTTACAAGCTGCACCTAGAGTGGAAGCTGTGTGAATCAGAACTTTGGGTGGAACAAACAGGAAATGAATGCAGAGGAATTGACTATGTAATAAAATGGAATTGGTTGACCACTTGGGAAATTTCCAGGTGGATGACTTCAATGGCTATCAGTCAAAATACATTGTAAAGCAATTCTGTCTCTCCTCCTTAATTGATTGTGTGTGGTAAGAAAAAAAATGGAAGAAACAGTGGGACAATACAGGAGGCTACAAATAGAAAATGTAGATGTCTGTACCCTATGTAAACTGCAGACACTTAGGCTCCTTCATCAATAGCCTGTAAGTACAGCATTGCTTGGTTGAATGATATCTGGGCAGTATCTTGTCAGGGCCATTTTCCCACTTCTTCCAAACAGACCTAGACAATGGTTTATTGTGTTAGTGCTGAGAAGCCAGCCTGGCTTTAAAGCACAAATGAAGAATAGTTAATAATAAAGGAAGCAAGCAAGGTTAGAATGCTTGAAGAATGATTCTACACTTTGTAGAAAAGAGGCCTGGTTTTTGCATATTACAGTCTGCTCAGATAGATTAATCCAGTTGTAAAGAGGAGGTGGAGGAATAAAGTGGCTTTGCAGTTTCAAGGTTACCTAGTGAAAATTCTCAGACAGAGCATGAGAATCAGCTCACCTTGGAAAAGGCAAAGGAGGAAAACATTTCAAAACTGGGTGGGGAGTAGATGGAGGGTGTTCCTTGACCCTGGGAGAAGACAGGTGAACCAAGTAGACCAATGAAGAAATGTCTGACATACCAGCAGCCTAGCCCTCATGTCTTGGGAGCCATCCCAAGGATGGAATCACAATCTTTCTAAAAAGGAGGGAAGGAAGGTTCAGCTTGGATTTCACTCTTCACATGGATAGACACTTCTCCCACATCTCAAAGAGAATGTGACTTTGATTTATACTGCCTTGTAACTTGTTAAACTTTAATTAAAGAACGGTGCTTCTAAAGTCTCTTCTGAGTGTGCTGGAGAGGAAATGAAGGGAGAGACCTGCTCATGACAAAACTCTCCTCCCTTCCAGACTGAAGTGACCAAGCTAGCCCATCAGGATCGATCTTCCTGCCCATGGGCCAGTCATTTGGAGTGCCTGATGCTTCTCACGTCATCTGCCCTCTTTAGCTTCCACCATACCCTGAGATTAATGAAGCTTGGTTTGCCTTCTTCCTCATTAGCATGTTCACTAAACTTTCCCACAGTATTTGAAACTGACTTGTTCGCAATTACCATCTGACTTATTTCTGGATTCTCTGACCTTGGCAACCTCTCCTGCTCTTCTGATTCAGAATTGGTTCCCACATCACTTGAAAATTCTTTTGTAGAAAGAATGGACCCAATGTTCATAATCCCATTGTGCCTGTGCACTATCAGGTGCAACCACTTGTGTAAAGGGATTTTGTGGTTCTACAACCAACATGGTATGAAAGAAATGAAATCCTGAATGGAGCAGGTCAACAGAACTGATAGAAGGGAGCTCCACTGAGCAGTCCTGATCTGCAAATGATCATTTCCACTAATTTCAGAGGTTATTTTTAGTACCACAAAATCCTCATTTGTAAATGGTTCCTTATACCAGCAGAAAATTAATAGTGGGAGTGCAGTAGCAATATAGGATATTGCCCTTGGTTTGCTTGAATTGCCTGTTTACTATAAAACTGAAAAATTAAGGGAATGCTCTTTGCTTGTACAGACAGTTCTCAAATAACTGGGTTCAAACATAAGCAATGTTTATTTTCTAGAAAGGTTTCAGGGAAGAAAACCCCTGACAAAAATTTGGAGACACAGAGTCACATTGGAGAGGTTAATTATGGCTACAATCCAGAGGAAACAAAGCATGCTGAGAAAATGACAGGTGTGTAAAATCTTTGTGAAAAAATGTATCTGCATATATTACTTCAAAGGCATATCTTCAGTTCCATTCTAGAAGTGGCCAGAAGGTAGACCGAATGTTGCAGTAAAATGAGATAAGAGCTGTTTTTGCCAATATATGGCAGTGAGTAGTGAAAGGGTGAATGCTGTGAACAGTTCCTTCCAGAAGCTTCTTTTGAAGGTGGTATTAGGCATGCATTTACCACATGTGCACTCATATGCTGTATACATGCCTGTTCTCCACATATACAGACATATACATTTCCTCAGCATGTGCTTCTGGTCATTTCCAGTAATATGTTTATTGGCAATTTGTCATGCACAAATATTAGTGTGGCATATTCCTATCTAAAGCCTTATGCCTAAGAAATTATTTGGTTTGAGGAATTTGCGGCTGATAGTCATTAATGACAACCAAGGCAACCATCCTAAGCAGACACAGATGGAAGAAAGTGCCACTTTCTATTGCTTGCTTTGTGTGTGTGTGAATTTAATATGCTTTTTAATTGGATTTGTACAAAGAATGGCAGGCAGCCTAAGTCTGTGTACTGTGCATAGATAATCAAGCACTTTGATGTGTGCAGCAGAGTCCAAATATGCTCAATCTCCCTCCTCCTCCATGCCAGTTGAGTCGTAGCACTGCTGAAGCATGCCTGACCTGATGGTCAGAGACGTGGCACCGTTGTCCTGCTCTGCTCATTTGCCTTCAGCTATTTTGATCTCTTTACGCCACCATCTCGCTGACAACACTGCCTGTGCTCAGGGGCACCAGTGAGAGTACTGAGAGGCCGGAATGGCCAGCCCCCCAGGGCAGGGCAGTTGAAGGATGCCTTCATTCTTCACCTGTTGGCCTCATTGCCACCTGCCATTCTGTCCCAGGTGGCCTCCCATCTCCCTGAAGCAGATTTTCAGGAAATTATGGGGAGGAGTGGGCATCAGCAAATTGCATCTACTTTCCTGTTCCATCACCAAAAGACTATACTAAGAGAAGAAGTCTTCTATGAATGGAAGGAGCCCTTCCACCTGCCAGAGGCACGTTTAGATCCAGCCATTATGTCTTGTCCTACAGGTACCATGTGCAGAGAATTTGTGTGAACCAACCCTAAATGTTGGAAACCACAAAGCAAATGTGAAAAGTATGTTATGATTATACACTCAGATAGTCAATTGATATGCAGCTTTTTTGGTTCATTCTTACATGGATCTTTCATCCATTTATAAATGTTGTAACATGCAGTGGATTTGCACAGAGCTTCTTTGGAATATTTGCATGGAGAAAGCTCTGCAAACTTTCTCAGCTTCTTAGCAAAATTTTAACAAAGTATCAACTAGACTTAGACAAGCAGAGTATTCAATGCTGTGGAAAGCTCTTTACACAGAAGGGTCTTTTAATACTGTGTACATTTTTGTATTCTAAAATGATTTATAATTTGTAGCGTTTCCCACAGTTAATACAAATTTTCCTATGTGTATTGGCATTCTGTGTTGCAGGGGACCCTGCTTTCTTCACAGTCAACACGGACACTTATGCTTCCAAAGATTTAAAAGTGAGGCCTCCATCGCAGGTAATGGAACCAGTTTTCATAAGATTGTGACCTATTTCATAAACATCCAATAAACCTAAAACATATTTTCTAAAGAACTGAAAATATATGCAATCGGGCATTGTAACAGGAATTGTAACAGAATGTTTTTTCTGATTCTGGGCACAGCAAAACAGCATTTCTAAAATGCATAATTTATATCCAAAATATGGATACAGTTATATGTTCATAACTGCAGAAGAATAAAATTATATTTTCTTGGCTGCTTGGTCTAAAATTCCACACACTCTGAGATTTTGGTGAGACATCCATTATGTTTAAGAGTTCATTTTACTTACCTGAAAAGCCAGGCACTTGTAACAGTTGACTGGTATTGTAAAAGGCAAACATAAAAAGAAGCTGGAGAAGGCTAGATATTTGATGGCAAAAATGTGATGTATTTAACAATTTCAAAGAGATTATTTTTCCAGACACAATCACCCTTACCAGCCTGCTTTTCCATTGAATGAAGAAAAAAGATATACAAGTTGAAAAAGAAATAGAGAGCCTTGTCTATTGGGTGGTATAAAAATGAAATAAATAGACAAACTACAGGCTAGTGAGTTTGATGGGGAAAACTCACTTGCTATATAGATAGAGAGAGAGAGAGAGAGAAAGAGAGAGAGAGGGCGGGGGGGGGGGCGGCTGAGAGTGATGTTAAGATGCTGGAACACATCTCCGCTGTATAACATCTAGTTTGGTCCAAATAGTTTGTTACTGCGTACTGTGACAAATGCTAAATTATGCAAGACTCTTACCTACCAACCAGGTGTGGTTTGGAGATATGAAAATAAAGTACTTGAAGGAAATGCATGTGTTAATACTTTGTGAAAGAACAGTTTATGTGAAATGGCAGGCCTGTGGCCAATACTTCTAACTGATAAACTCCAACAGACACAACTGCTGGTACCCCAGCCAGTGCGCCATGGGAAGACATTCTCCCTCAGCTCTGTGATGCAGGCTTCCTCTTTTCCCTCTTACCTTCCCAGCCAGCCTTGCTTCGGTTATTACTTTGTGCTTAGGTACTTGTAAGTTTAAGCTCTTTGATTATGTACTGGAAAAGAACTGGGCATCTATTCCTCATATGGAAGTCTGCACACTTTCATGTTTTTCCTGCACAGATCTCATCACAGTTTTCTGGTTCATCACAGTCTCCTCAGTAGTCCTCCTCTTCTGCTATGCCGATACATGCTGTGAGCATAAAGCTGAATGCATATAATCATGACTCAGCTTTCAGTTCCTTGTACCTAAGACTCCACTACTCAGCTCTTTTAGACACTTGGAAATCGTTTTGAAGAATTCCATAATTTGTGTATATTTTCTCACGGTATGTAGAGACAGGCTTCGGGACAAATCTCTTAGACCTCCAGATCCTACAATTTTAAATCTTATCTTTCTCCTTTGTTTGATCTCTGTGCAGACCACTCTGATGTTACTTTCCCTCTCAGGGTAACATTGAGGTTAGTTTGTCATGCTTCTTAGAATGTATGTCTCTTTCTGCCTGTTTGATTTAGAGTTGAGAACAACTGGTGTTGAAAGAACAGATCAAAGTCACCTTAACTGTGGGCTATCACTTGATTGAGAGAGTCAGGCAACTGCGGGAATAATAAAGCACCACAAAGAGTAAGGCAGATCAATTTCACAATGACCTAGTCTGTAAGTTCAGGTGCTTCTTATAGGAGGATGGTGTAGGTAACCATGAAGTGCTATTTTGGCAGTGCGGTAGATTATCATCACGTAAGAGCTTTCAAAACTTAGTATTTCCCTGTAGGTGTCTTTATGACCTTATAATCCGGCTCCAATTTCTGGGCCCATCAATCATTTTGCAGGATGGCTTTTCTCATTTAAAGCCATGACACTTGGCATATTACATCATGGGGAAAAACAATAATTCAATAAAACAATATTTTTTCCTATCAGAATCCAATGATGGTTTCTTTTTTGGACACATTTTATAGATATCATTATCATCAGCAAGAAGTAAAATATATATGTAGTCATCATAGTTTTCATCATCAGCTAGCACTGAACTATAGAATCTTAGAGGCCATGGTCCTGACTGTCTTTGGTCAGCCCCCAAACCTGCTGAGACATCCCTGGTGAATCATGCTCACCTCATCCATGGGTATGCTGGCACTTACCTCTGTAAGCCCACTTGCTAGAGTCTATCTAGTCACCTCCAGGAGGACAGTTTTCACCTGGACAGGGGTTAGTACAAAAGGGAGCAATAGATCCAACTTTTAGTTGGGAGAGAAAACAATGGAAATTAGAAGGTGAAGTGTCCTGGAAGAAGCATGGTTGATTAGCTGCAGTGCTGAGCAGGTGCATTCAACACTGCTGCATTTTGTTGTAGGTGTGTCCCATTTGTTATAGATAAATGGACTTCTTCAAAAAATATGTAAATAAGCAATGTAGTGTTAAGTCCTGGGACTAAGTAAGAAATCATTCATAGGCAGTGTAGTTTTTACTTGAGTTTCTTGGTCGATGGCTGTTTTCCTCTCTTCTTCTGAGGTTAAAAAAATAATATGAGGGAAGTACAAGTCTTCAAACCTCTGGGAAATATGGAAGCGAAGAAGGCGATAGCACTGACTTAATATTGTTTAAAAAGAAAAGTAGGAAACATGACATCAGGAGTTAGAATCTTCCCTTGAAGATTTCAGGGAAGAGAGCAATGAATCTTTAGCCCTAGAATCTTCACTGAAAATTTCTCTTTCCAAGATGAGACAGGTACTGAAGATTTTTTTTATCTATTTATGAAAATGACAATGGAAAGACTCATGTATCTACTTTCCCATCCCCAAAGACTGGAAAAAAGAATTCAACTCTTTTAGCCTCTCTGATGCTTTAGGAAATCATTATAAAGACACAGGAAGTGCTTTGGAGGCTTCAGAAGGTAGTTTTAATTTGAGTACAGGATTTCATATCAGTATTATACTTCTCCTTGGGCTGGCTGGAATAAATGACACACACACACACACACACACTGATATACTCACTGTGATTACCATCTGAATGAAAGCACCAGCATATTTCTCTGTGAAAAGGTAGTGCCTTTTTAGTATGGCAAGTCATTATTCTTCCCAGCACAATATAGCCCAAATAAGCAGAAAACTTCAAAATACAATATTGTATTTTAGTGTCACCCTTTAAAAAAGATTTGAGTTTCCAAGACCATAGGGATTTTTCTTACTTTGTACTCAAAGTACTCATCCACTTGTGAATGCAAGGTATTGACAAAGTGATCCGCATCCAAGAAATAGTGGGTATCTAAGCCCAATAATGCAATGTTTTCACTGCTATGTTTTGCTTCATTTTCAGTTTTCTAGCTCATCACAGTCTCTTCAACATACCATCTCTGTCCTATCTTTGTATCACTTTAATCAGCTTTCCCAAAAAGCCAAAGCACAGTGATTGAGGAGGGCTTTATCCGGGATTGCTTCCCACAGGGTTTGCAAATCCAGGGCTCATCTGTGGCCACACAGTTCAAAGCTGCACCCACATTCAGCAACTGGTGGCAAACATCACTGCACTACTCAAATGTATCTCAAAAAGTGGTAACCTGGTGTGCCTACAGGAGGAGGCTGACTCACCAGCCTGAGCAACCAAAGGCTCAGTGCCCTCAGCTCCTCACCCACCAAATGGAAAGCCACATATGTATCCCAGATTGGAACTAAAGAGGAGTCACCAACAACAAATGGGGCCCAGCCACAAGAAGAGAAGCTGCAAGCATTCCAGTGAAAACCATGCTATTCCAGCAGAAACATAGCAAATCTATTCTGACCAATAATCCCTTGCTTACCTGGTTCGCATCACATGGTATGGCTCACTGGGGATTATTTAATCCATGAAGAGCTGCAGCAACTATTGGCACTACTTGGCAGAGCAAACTGCCATTTGCGAATTGCAACATTGTTGCATCCTGGCAAGTGTGGGTTATATGAAGGCTATGCTTGGATAGCCCAGGATCTGTTTTAGGATTAGGTGAGGGTTGTTTAATCCTCTCATGACCCCTTCTTGCTTGGTTTGCATAACATAACCCTGAAGTGGAATTTGGATATATAAAATAGTGGCTGCCTTTGAGTAGCTGCTCCAGTGGTTTAGGCACATTGTCCCAGGTGCTGCCCCTCATGCCCCTCACCCAAAGATCCCCGGTGGGCGATGGGTTTATTTATTTATTATTTATTTATTTATTAAGACATTTTTATGCCGCCCCATTCGCCGAAGCCTCGGGGCGGCTTACAACAATAAGTTAAAATACAAATACATTAAGTTAAAATGCAAACATTAAATTATAACCTTAAATTAAGATGTTTGTAAAGTGCAGACATAAAGTTAAAACACAAAAATAACAATATAAAATAAGTCACCCTGGCCAGATAAGTCGCCCTGGCCTGGGTTGGTAGGGATCCTTCTCTCTCCGCTTTGATATATAGGAATGGGAAGCTCACTGTTACCCGCGACCTTCCAGTGCGTGATAGAAAGTCACACATTGTGCACTTCCAGTACAAAGTTACAGAAGAGTTCCTCCTGGGATGCAGTGCCATCCAATCAGATTCTTATTTGTGGAAATCTCTGATGAAGTAAAGGATTATCAGCGTTGCCTTCGTCAAGAGGAGGGCAGACATAGTTGCTAGGCACCTGCAGCTCTGTTTTCCCTTCTTCTCCGCAGGCAGAGGGGAAAGGGAGCTGGATTCTGCCCATCAAAGCCATTGTAGTGGTGGCAAGAAGGAATGGAGTGCTCTTTTGCCATCCTCTGAGGCAGTGGTGGCGAACCTCTGGCACACATGCCACAGCGGGCACTCAGAGCCCTCTCTGTTGGCACGCGAGCGTTGGTTTTCATAGTCTGCAGCACCTGAAGGCACAATCTGATTCTGGCATGCACCCTGATTCGCCCTCTGCGCTTTATAGATAGTCAGAATGTTGGTCTTCAGTCAATATGCTGAGACCTCCACTTCATTTCATCCTAAACTAAACTTTCATTATTGGCCTACAAACCTTTTGTCTTTTATCTGCTGTTAAAATATTCCTTTAAAAAGATAGGCTTGCAAAATAAGAAGAAAAGGGGAAAGGTTGGGGGAAGGGAAGGGAATAATAGGAAAAGAGGAAGAAAGGATACTGAAAGTGGGTCTTCTATGGATGAGGCTTGGGTCAGAGCAGGTTTCGGAACATTCCAAACAAATCATATCAACATATTCTGAGACATCCTTAAGTTGCTATAAGGAAATTTAGTTATGTCAAGCATAGCTAATAATTTTGAATTAGTTATTATCAGCTATGGCTAGATCAAGTCTTCCAATTTTTGTTTAATAGAGCTACTTGTGATAAATGTGTATTAAAATAGTCTTATCTATTCCATTTCTAGGCTGCTTATTATGGACATCATGATGGAGTACCTCCCTCAGGAATTCCTGCTTACCCAGTCAGTCCAAGAAAAATCAGAAATGTGACACATGTATAGAAACAGTCGCTCTGTGGTCTTTGGCTTTTGAGTACCGCATCCTCCAAACTACTGTTCCTTGCCATTTTTGCATTATCTGGTAATAAACCTAAAAAATTAGCACTTTTACAAGAGCAACATGTTCCATTGTTTTACCCGAAAACTAGCAAATGCCATTCTCTGGGGTAATTTAGCTAAAGAACCATTTCCTGCTGTCTTTTTCCACAAAAAATTGCTACTTGGAATAACAACATAGTGGGTATTTTTTCTTTTAATATTCATGAGGAAGAATGCTATGAAAAAAACCTTTTATTATTAAGCTCTTTGGGGTAGATCCAACCTTAGGTGCATGTGAGTGGGTAGATAAAGCAGGCCTCCTGCTGGCAGCCTCTGCAGCTACTCAGAAGATCAGTGAACACTGCTGAATGAAGTGCGTTGTGGTGCGTGGTAGAGGAGGGATGCCCCCAGACTGGGCAAAGACACCTTCTATGAGCAGATCCCTTCTGTCAGTGGAAGGCAGATCATGGTTGATCCATCTGAAGGTTCCTTTGTTTAAATCATATATATCCAAAGATCAACTTTTATTCACTTACACTGGAAGATGAGAGCAAATGCTAATTTTATTTTTAAAATATAAGCGTTTCTGACATGGGGGCCGGGGCTAATATTTATTATTTCAGCATGAAATGATTTATTTCTGGTCTGCATAACACTGATAGCTGTAATATGGCAAGGAGATCAAAGCAGGAATATCCAGGGTGATCACATAAAAGAAGACTAACTGGAGTGGTGGACAGATAAAAGGGTTTTAAATTATGGTATATTCTAAAGCAGAGGTTGTGTTGTTTAGATCTAACATATTTGTCAGCTTGTCAACTAAAATGCTTGTTGTTCTATTAGTGTAATTAATATTTAAGTTCTAACTGTAAATGTGCCTGCAACTCAGTTATCCCAAGATACCAGAAACTACTGTTTTGCAGATGAGGATGATTGTTGTTAGTCGCGAAGTCATGTATATTGCATTTAATAGCTCACCTTTATTTGATTCTATTTCAATCATTTACTGGACATATGCTCACTACCTTCCTCTTGCTCAACTGTTCATTAAAAATAGATTCAAGTAAGACTTATTGAAATCGGTGGTCTTTCTTCAAAGAAGCTAAGTTTATGATGCATAAAAATGGATTGTAGTAACAACTTCTTTTCTGTTGGGTCTTTGCATAAGATATCAATGATTGTCCACTGCACAATGGACTCTACATTACTGTTGCACTATACAAATAAAACAGATACATTTTCTTCCTGAATTGGTATATCTTTCTGCATATTTACAAAAGATTTTCTACCTTGGTCAGTTTTGAAAACCTCCTCTCTGGGTCCACTCTCTAAATGGATGGCATTAGGTTCTTGATTGCTAAAACTGGAAGGGTTCTTCCCACAGTTATATCTGTTAGTCACATCAGTTACGTTTTACTCCATTTTCTCATAATAAATTCTGTGGAGAAAACCAGATTTAAAGATTGGTAAGAAAATATTTTTGTGGTAGACCTGAATGAATAAATGTGGGGGTTTTTTTTAACCACCATGGATCAATCAGTGGATGATGATAATGATGAGTTTTTGTCATTCTTGTCTCTGCATACCAAATAAGATCTGCCTGCTATGGCTGAATGGCAATACTTGCAATTGCAATAGTTTGTCCCTGCCACTTTTACAGCTCCAGAGTCTCCTCACCACTGGAAGCACTTAGGAAGTTGGAATAGTTGTATAATCCCATGTTCCAGGTTTTCAAATACTTATTATCAGTGAATATATGTAATACATATAAATTGCTGTTGGTGTAACAAAGTTAGTACTTCTTTTAATCATGCATTTTTGTAATGTCCAATAGTGACTGTTTTGGGGGCAAGGTTATTATACAGGTAAACCTTATATTGAATTGCTACTTAATATTTATCGATGTATATGTCCTCTTATATCACCTTCCTGCTTCCTGGAAGTCAACACAATCACACTCCTATAATGCAATGGATTAAGGGTCTAACAGTGCTTTAAACATTTGAATGACAACATGGACAACACCTGCAAATGCTTTACATTTATGGATATTTGTCTTTGTTAAGGTTTAATTCTTAGAAATTAAAGAACAAAGAGCTGATTGCTCGCTCTCTCTCTCTCTCTCTCTCTCTCTCTCTCTCTCTCTCTCTCTCATGCATGCACATACACACACTTCATCTGCATGTAAATTTACAAAAAATTACAGCAGAGTGAAAACAGTCAAAATAACTATCCTTATCTTACCTTAAAGGATTAACACATTTATTGTGGCATAAGCTTTTGTGGGCCAGATGCATCAGTCACATCTGATGAAGTGGACTGAAAAAGCTTAGGCCATAATAAATGTATTCGTCTTTTAAGTCCTAAAATATACTCTTGCTATTGCTGTGACTGACAAACAGGGCTCTGGAAAGGGTCTAGTGTAAGTTACTTTATATATAGTGAACTGTCTTATGTTGGTGACAATTACTCCCTGGAACCTGAACAGCACATTAAAATTCTATGCCTGATTCAAGATAGCATTGAATTTCAAGTTTGTTTTTTTAGTACTGTACATTTCATCAGATGTTCATTTTTAACTTATGTACAAAGCTTTGCTTGCATTGCTTTGGATGATTTAAAAATTATTTGGATGACCCAGTCCTTTATGTCTTTCTTTCCTCCCCAACTTGCCTGCATCTATTGCTTCCCACTCAGGATTCTGCTACCATTGTACATCAAATCACACATTATGTATGATAATTCTGTGACATGTACCTGTATCTGTTTCTTTATTGTAGAATAACTGGATGCAACCCAATTCATATCAGGAGGAGAAGATTATTTCCTGAGCTCCCATCCATGGAGATTTAAGTGGTGGGGGTGGGGGGAGGAATCTACTGGAGAATTTTCTGGGATCCCATGAACATAGGGATTCAGTAATAAAAGAATGAGCACTTACTAGCAGGCAGCTCAGCTAGGACTCAGTTTAGATTCATGGAAGTCAGGGATTCTGAGAAGGATATAATCTTATTGTAAGGACTCAAAAAGCATTGGATGGTAGGGAGTGTTGACTTCCACATACTTAACAAGAGAGAGATGTGCAGGGAAGTCTAGCCGTTTGTTGACATTTGAACTAACTCTTACAAAATACACAAACTCTCAGGGCTCTTCATAACTAACTAATACAGTGATACTCTGATGAGATTAGAAACTGGAAAGAAGTTGGGCATTTATAGCTTCAAGAAGCCTCATTCTTCCAGGAATGCCATATGCAACTTTCAAGTTTACGTCTAGTTTTCTAGATACTTACTATCTCACACTGCCAGACAAAATGTAGCCTTTTGGGCCAAGCTGCTCAAGAGAGGAAAGCAAAATTGGTGGTACACTATAATTCTTCAATGATACTGTGTTTCCCCAAAAATAAGATCAGGTCTTATATTAATTTTTGCTCCAAAAGATGCGATAGGGCCTATTTTCAGGTGATGTCTTATTTTTTTCTTACGAAAGCCATAAGATTCTTGCCCCAAGAGTCCTCCACGATTCCTTTCTTGTACTCGATGGAATAGTTATTTCTTTTTGCACTCGTCTTAACTTTAAATCTACCATTAAATCAAGTGTTAATTGAAGACTATGAGACAGGAGTGGCAACACACAAGTGCATTAAGTTCATCCATTACAACACACAACGTATTGAATTATGAAACACGTCTGTTATCAGGTGTGCACATTATTCGTGCTTTGTGTCTGGACTCTGATTGGTAATTTGGCAATAAGTCTCGAGTTCATCTGTTTACATAGGTGTTTACCTCTTGTCCAAAGGCACCCACTTGGGTATTTACAAATACTTAATTATAATTTATACTATCATTTATTTTAAGTATTAATGTCAATAATATTATTTATTTATATTCAATTATATATTATTAGTATTTTCAATAATTCAATATGTCTGTTTTGTGTTACAATGGACATACTAAATGTGTCCGCCTGGCTGATGATCTTAACTGGGGTTTATTTTTGGGGTAGGGCTTATATTACGAGCACCCTGAAAAATCATGCTAGGGCTTATTTTTTGGATAGGTCTTATTTTTGGGGAAATAGGGTATGTACAGACAAGACAAATCATTTCCCAATGTCAGTAAACATTCCAACAAAGCCACCCTGTTGTGTGTAGCTGGAGTAGAGTCTATGTTCTTAATAGTCACCATATTAAAATAGTAGTTTAACCTAAAGTCATTTCAACCTACAAATGTTGTACATGTATGTGACATCTTTATCTTTGTCACATGTATGATATAATAGTTTCTTGGGAAACTAGATATCAGATGTAACTTCCAGTTGCTTATACACATAGTGGTATATACATTGATTTGCCCCTGTATACATTGAGCTGTTCCCCCTTTGGTTCTTTTTATATTATAAACCTTGGATCTGTGCCAGATGCTTTAAAATCTCCCTGCTATCAGGCAGCCCGGTGGACTCCAAGCAGCATGGTGGATCATAAATTGTGCAAGATGTATACTTGCTCCACTGTTTTTCATTTTTCTTGCTTGCAAACAGTATTGCTATGATACACTGGAAAGCCAGAAGTGTTCCAAGTTTATCTCATGACTTGGATACCTGGAGAGAAATGCTGCATATTGAAATGTTTAGCATTTCATGTAGAATAAAAATAAGTTACCTTAATCCACTGAGTCATTCCCATTTAAAAATAGCTGTGGCTTTCCACAGAGGTTTTTCTTGACAGCAGAAAGTAGCATCTTGAATTTGAGTGGGCTACTAAGCTTAATTGATCTACCATTTCACTATTGCCAGTGATTGGTAATCACAATATTGACAGTAAATATTTAATTGCTCATTTTAGAGACAGAGCCTTAAGGTATGCTTCATTTCACATATATATGAATTGATTGTGCAAAACACCCTGTACTTCCAATGATAATGTATTGAGTTTAAGCAAATTTGAATAACAAACCAGTCTGTAAATGCATTCAGTTTGCATATGAGTTGCATCTGGTTCTCAGTGTGAAGGTTTTTGGGGTATAGTGACTGCAGGTGAATTAATTCTGTAATGTCAAAAGGTTACTCTCATAGCTTGCTCTGGAGTAAGTCAACTGCCAAGGCAGAAAAATCTCAATGCTAGAGTGAAAGCCATGAGGGAAAATAACACAATAACTTATCCCTTATTGAGTACCTCAGCAATTTAAATGCAACATTGTGTTTATTGATTTCACTTCTCCATAGGAACCTAGGGAATTTGTAACACTATGCTATATAATTGTACACATATTTGAAGAACAATGGATAACTTCCTACCAGCATCAGGACAATACATTATATACATTACCAATTACAATGTGAAGAAAGCAAGCAAGCAAGCAAGCCAGCCAGCCAGCCAGCCAGCCAGCCCATCCGCCCGCCCGCCCGCCTGCCTATAAATAAATCTCACAATGATCTGCTTGATTATTGCTCATCACAAAGTTAGTAGTCAGGAAATGCAGGTAGAAGCACAATTATTTTATTTATTTATTTATTTATTAAAACATTTTTATGCCGCCCCATTCGCCGAAGCCTCGGGGCGGCTCACAATAATTATAATATAAATTAAAAATATAAATATTAAATTAAAATACCACAATACAGTATAAAATAAGCCGCCCTGGCCAGATAAAACCAATAATGTTAACAGTTAAAATGCCTCTTGAATAAAAAGGTCTTCGCCTGGCACTGAAAAACAAATAACGACGGCGCCAGGCGGACCTCTCTGGGGAGCGCGTTCCATAACTTAGGCGCCACGGCAGAGAAAGCCCTCCTCCGAGTACCCACCCTCCTAATTTCTTTCATGGAGGGTTCCCGGAGAAGGGCCTCCCCCGCTGATCTCAAGGGGCGGCTGGGCATATATGGATGCAAGCACTCCTTCAGGTAACCAGGACCCAAGCCGTTTAGGGCTTTATAGGTCATCACCAACACCTTGAATTGTGCCCGGACTTCAATGGGAAGCCAGTGAAGCTGACGGAGAACTGGAGTCATGTGAACACAACACCCAGTCCCCGTCAGCAACCTGACAGCTCTGTTTTGAACCAGTTGAAGTATCCGGACCGTCTTCAAGGGTAGCCCCACGTAGAGCGCGTTACAGAAGTCGAGACGGGAAGTCACCAATGCATGTGTCACTGTCGCGAGGCAGTCATACTCCAGATAGGGGCGCAGCTGGTGGATCAGCCGAAGCTGGAGGAAAGCGCTCCTCGCCACTGCTGTCACCGGAGCTTCT